GCCATGTAGACTTTCGCTCATAAAGCATGAAAATTTGGGGAACTATTTAAGTCAATGCAACCTAATTGCATCCTCTTTGACAGCAAATAATGTTCAATTATTTAAACATTTTTATTGCTCATACAGCAGGGATTTTTAGCCCTTATGGTCGGGAATTGATAGCCTTTCAGACATAAGAAGGCCCATCAGGCGAAGACTAGAAGGAAGTCTTGATATTTTTAATTACTATTGTATTAGAGATAACAAAAGTTTTAGTAGGGGAGTGTGACGTATTGAGGTCGATCAATACGTCGATTTAGTTAGCAATAAGATAATATAATATTATAATGCTGGATGGTGGGAACGAGAAATATGATTTCTCTTTCCTGTCATCCAGACACTGGTCAGCAATCCCACGGTGTCATTTGGACACCGTGGTAAGCAGTCCCACGGTTTTTCAGGAGTCCAGTTCAAAACGATAAACTGTTTGACTGTTTGAGTCTCTGTCAATGATGACACGAGACAGTATTAGTGGAGAAAATCGTGAGACTGCTTAGCTCAGCGAATTGGGGCTTTGCCAAGTTTTGAGGACTCTGGAAGCACCAGAGTACGATCGGGAGTGACGCTGAACGGTCATCCCAGCTCCTTTAAATATTAATAACGCGTTTACTGAACCCATCAATAACATTGTCGTGTATCATAGTTAGTAGTTGAGTTAAATATACCATACTTTTACCAGTTAATCGTGTATTTATCTTCGCTACAATACCTTCCAATTCCATTATCATTCCCAACTTGAGTGAATCCCACGCGACAGTTAGCCGGTCAACATAGGGTACGACGACCCTAGGAAAGAAAAGCTTATTTCTATTTGTGACTAGTCCCAGGGACTAGTCACATGTTAGATCACCCAGGATTAATGCGGTGGGTGATCTAACTCAAAACGTCACAAAGAGAATAGTGAAAAAAGCAAGTATATATGAAATTTTGTTCCAAAGTCGCTAATTATCCATTCTTTATTTTCGAGCTTTTCCTAACCAATTCAATTGATAAATTAACCTCCATAAATTTAGCGAAATCGAGTGATTTGGCGGCCATTTTGGAAACACCTAAATTATGTGCTATTTGTGTGCTCTCTTTTCGGTATCCAAAAATTTTTTGCTTTGCTGGGGTAGTGGAAAATGAGGGGGGAAAAGCGTCGAAACCCATTAAACGCCATAACGGGAATTTTGGTTGGGCGGAGTAGTCCAAA